AAAACTGACTCTTAATCATAAGATTAAGGGAGTGAAATAAGCAGTCCCAGCTCAGGAACGCCCACTTTGCAAAAATACAAAAGTACGCATCTACCCATCCAGACAGGGTCATGCTGGGCACCACACAGCATGGTAAATGTGAGAAAGGTCAGGAGAATCATCCCTTGCCCTAAGTGGTCCTGACTTCCAAATGCACTCTCCATCCTGCCCTCCATCAGATGCACCCCACTTCCCATGAAGGGTTGCAAGGAGCAGAAAAAGGCTCCAGAATTTAAACAAGTTATAGCCCATTGAAAATAACTTTAGTAATTAATTAATCAAGTTTCCTAGCTAAATGACCACAGCCTTTTTAGGCCAGATCACAAGGATAATAGCCTGAATTTTTCCTGTGAAAAATACGCCCTGAGTTCCAATAGTTTTTTTGGGACCAACTAATCCGTAAATCTGGAAGAGACCAACAATCCATTCTTTCTCACCCTCTTGTTCAACTTATCTCCTGATATCATGAAGTCCCTCATTTGCATATATGAACAGTCATTCTTGAATCTGGGCTCACTTTGTAGACTCTGGTAGAGGGGCAGCTCACCAGCAGATCCAGTATGAACCTACCCTAAGAATTCATGCATTGACATTTAAGGCTAGCCCCTGGTCCTCCCAGCCTGACAGCCACCACACCCATCCCAACATCAGCATGACGGTCAGGCTGGAGAGACTGTAGATAAAGGCAGAGAGGCTGTTGGAATATTTTTTTACCAGTTAGGATGTGGAATAAGGGAGTAGAATTGGGGGCAAGGAAATATTGGCAAGTGAGAGATGCAGGCAAGGTCAAATCCACATGAGTTGTCAGCTGATTGCGCCTAAGGCACGAGACAGGGTCATGAGGAAGGGCTGAGGATCTGAAAATCCTCCAGGCAGCAGTGCCCCATCTCTTCCACACCCCTGCAGAGCTCCTTCCATTCCCTCTGGATATGAAACTGATCCTCAGACTAGACTGTGAGCTGCAGGGAGACAGGAAAGGAGTCTGGCGCATCTCCTATGCCCGCAGCACCTAGGAGCAGCATGTACACCCAGCAGTTATCAGTGCATGTCTTAATGTCACCCCCTGCCCCAGGAGCAGCCCCATGTGGCTCCTTTAGGAAAAGAAGACCAGGTGGGAAACCACCTTCCCTTGGGCTCTGTGTATCCCGCTGCTGTGTGTACAGGGACCTGTGACCCACTCTGGACTGAAGATGAATCTTTAAAACGACTGGCTCCTCTCGGAATGCACTGCAAAATTCCCAAGCAATGAACACCCTAGTCCATTTTCCCTCTGTTCCCCAGAACCCAGACCTTTTTAAAAATGTATTTAAATATTTTCTGCTGGGGCATTTTATCTATATTTTGGTGTATTCTGGCTATTTTTCTTTTCTTTATGGATCCTATTCAATATTCTCTTTGTTGCCACCTTTCTCTTTCAAGGGCTTGCTGAGACACTTTTTTCCCCTTTCTTTCTGTGCCTAAAGGCCAGTGGGGTTCTGAAAAGGGACGGCAGTGGCTGAGTCCAAGCCACTGTCTTCTAACCATTCGGCCGTTGGCGTTGATCACCTTGATGGATGAGCAAGTTAGAAGCCTGTGAGCCCCATTCTTGAGTGGCAACAGAGAGCACTCTAGTTTGTCTTCTCTGTCCTCATGTTTGGACCAATTTCTCCTGAGTATTTACTTCACCACTTAACCATCCTATTTGACTCTAAGAGATTTAACACAGATGTATCAAACTGCTCTACACCAGGGACTCTGACAGCTTCCTGTCCTTTCAACAGCTCACCTAGCAGGACAACCCGGTCTTGCTGTTTCACTACCTAGAAGACCACAGTTCAACTGTAAACATAAAGCTTTCCACTGTCTCAACTTCTTTCAAGTCTTTTTAAAAAATGTTTAGTGAGCTGGTACATTATTCATGATAAGAATGCTCCTTCATATCATAATAGTTATTTGTACGTGTCAACTTCTCTGGGTCACATGACCCAGAAATGTGGCCAAACATTATTGTGAGATGTCTCTGAAAGTGTTTTTGGAGATTATAAATCAGTGAACTTTGAATAAAGCAGATTGCCTTCCATAATGGGAGTGGGCCACATCCAATCAGTTGAAGTCTCGAGTAGAACAAAAGACTGGCCTCCCCTAGTGAAAGGGAATGCTCAGCTGACAGCCTTCCAGTTGGAACCATTGCCATGTGGTCTCTTGCCTGGGTCTCTAGCCTAACAGACCACCCTGCTGATTTGGGGCTTGCCTCCCTCCCATAACCCCATGAACCGAGTCCTTAAAATACATCTCTTTGTAAGCTAGGCATGGTAGCAGCACTCTCTAATTCCAGCAATTTAGGAGACTGAGGTGGGAAGACCACAAGTTTGAGGCCAGCCTTAATAACTTAGCAAGACCCAATCTCATAATAAAAAATAAAAGGGACTGGGAATATGGCTCAGTGGGAAAATGCCTCTGGGTTCAACCCATCCCAGGGCAGGCGTTGGGGGTCCCACTTTCTATACTTATCTTGTTGGTTCTATTTCTCTGGAAATCCTGACAACTACATCCCCCAACCAGCATGCAGAGGCTTTCTTCTTGTTGTTGTTGTTGTTTTTAGGGGGGATCAGGGGAAATACCCTCTTACAGGGGATAACTTGAGTAGAGCAGGGAGTTTCTGCAGGTCCTATGTAAAAATTTCTCAGGGGCAGGGGGATGGAGGGATGGCCAAGAGGTTGGATCTATGACTGAAGGGCTGGGGTACAACACACAGGAAAGCAACCCTGGAAGAAGTGAGGGAGGGACACAGACCTCTTAAGATGGTGTCCTAGAAACAATCTACAGACCTCTCAAAAGGCACCAAGAACCAATACAATTTGATCAATTTAAAATGTTGAAATTTTATTTTCAGGATCCATTGTATGCTTTGGATGCTTTTTTCTGTGCAGTGCTTTCACGAAAGCCCAGAGGGGACTGGAAGATTGCTCATCGTATTGGGGGTGACTTGACACTGGGATTCACAGTATATGCCCTGCTCTCCCACGGTTGATACCAGTCCTTATGGCTCGTGGAAGGAAGGCGGTTAAGCTTGTCTTCACTCACAGAGCTACACGGGGTTGCCCAGATGATACAATGAATGGGCTTCTGCAAATACATGTGATGCGTACCTTTGTGAATCCTTTATGTTTTGGAAACACATTAGAGGAACTGATTATTTCAAGGAAACTTTATAAGTGTCTCATTTCTTAATGTCACAAGCCATTCTGATTGAAGTTCATAACCTCTCTCTAATACATTAGCCTATGAAATTCCATTTTTTTTTTTGCCTAAGAGTTTTAATTAAAGCAAGACAAAACTATACTTAATAACATTCATTTGCCTGAAAGAGTTATTGCAGGAATACTTATGGTATTACCAGAAAGCAGCTTAATGTCTCAAATCAAACTGATAGGCAACTTAATGAGGGATGTCACTATGACCCATATTTTCCCACATTTTTTGAAAGAAAACATCCACACAGTGAAGGGAATCAGAATCTATTTTTATATCCCTAGAGTTATAAACATTTGTATCAAAATATTTACAATTATAGCATATGAAATAGTCTATGAATGAAGAAGCCAAATACAGTACTAGAACAACCCACCAATGTAATGCAAATTACATGAGACATAAATGTCACAGAAAAAAAAGTAAAAGACAAGGGAATTCATGGTTTGCTCCAGTCATAGTTCAACTTTTTAACAAAATGAAAGATGTCTTTTGGGTAGATCTGATATGTAGGTATGATTCTGCACCTAAGACAGCCCTCTACAATTATGTGATGATCAAATCATAATTGAAAAGTTCATTATTCCTCAGATTTTTTTTTTCTGGCCAATGTCTCTACTCTCAGTCCAGGTAACATGGTGGTCTGCCTTCCACATTCCCTTAACTAGAATAAACATAGAGAAATATACTTAGTAATAGTCCCTTTACATAAATACCAGCAATTATGGCATAACAAATCCCCAAAAAGGAAAGTTATATAAGAAATGGATGAGGAGAAAGCTAGAAGAAAGAAAGTGGGCAAGATGTCTCAGACTCTTCCTGGGGGAGATCTTCCTCTAAGGGCAATAAAGGAAAAGTCTTCCAAAAGAAAAAGAACTCCTCTGGGTAGAATCTGAGACGGCTTAAAGTAGCTGCTCTAGGGCAGAACCCTGCCTGCTGAACCAGGAATAACATACTACTTCTAAATCCTATATAGAAACGCTCCTGTGGCTGCAGATAGCTCGGTTACCATCTGACTGGGTACCCCAAGAGTTTTTGTTCTTTAAGAAAGTATCTTCCCATCACCTGTATTTTTATTTATCTCATGGGATTTTTATTTTCCTGGGAGCAGGCACTCTGTTCTTATTATGACTAAAATATAGTATGATTAATACTTTGCAATTATATAGCACCTTTCACCCAAGGACCTGTTGTTTGGTTTTGGTGTGTGTGTGTGTGTGTGTGTGTGTGTGTGTGTGT